TTTGACAAGTCACGTTAAGGTTTCTTATAACGCCATGCAGTCGATTTCACAACGCAGAACATTCCTTTCAGAGTTCTGCTTGGACCTGTTGTCAGCTCTGGTGGAAATCACTGGCTGCACATGCAGCATACCTCAGAATTATGGCTGCGGTCGGTCGCCTGTTGGAGCAGCATGCAGAGCAGAAGCTAACACTGCTAACATGAAGCCAGGTTTTAAGCGACTGACTGGACAGAGAGATTTCAGCGAGATTTGTTTCCAGCATTACCTTTGTCCTGTACATGACTGGAGTGAAAAGATCAACTTCGCCACGATTGAACGTTCCCCTAATCGCTCACCATGATGCAACACCACAAAAAATAAGCTGCAAACTTTACAAAAATACAACATTGATTGATACAGGATGTGACGGGGTTTAATGCAAAGTTTCACATGTGAGAAATTCTCTGACGCTTCAAGTTAAACACGTTGCCGTTTACAGGAATGCACCAACCCGTGCTGCAACGCCACCACCTGCACCCTGAGCGCAGGTTCACAATGTGCTGAAGGCGAGTGCTGCGAGAACTGCAAGGTGAGTCGACATCATTCATCACCTCTCAGCCTAACAGCCCAGTGACGGCAAAGCTCCCGTGGACATCAGCAACACAATTGTTTGGCGCACTACCGCCCTCTTGTGGACTTTGAGTTATAACAAAAAAATTTTTATGAAAAAGTACTTTTCTTGGGGGGTGGATTTTGCTTTGTGTCACACTTAAATGTTTTAGATCACATGTCAAACTCAATCCGACTCGCCACAACCATGTATGTGGCCCTCAACCTTCCAGATAGCAGTTGTTTTATCAAATCAAGGCATTTTTATCTGTATAAACTGTCAAATGTAAGAAAAACTTTCAATATTTCATTTTAAGCATAATATGAGCGACAGCTATTTATTAATGTTTTAGCAGGTTATTGATGGACTTCACCAATAAATTCTGCCACAACTAACCTTTCGAAGACATTCAAGATCTGGATCTGGCTGAAAATAAGTTTTTGACGTTCCTGTTTTAGATCATAAAACAAATTCCAATATGAGACAAAGACAATCTGAGTAATGGAGACATTAAAAAAACTGTAGCCACAACTTTTTCAAATCTATATAGAAAAATTATTTCCCTGATTAGAAATGAGTCACGCACTGGAACCATCAGATCTGAAATACAGAAGGCATTTCAAGATGCTTTCTTTTAATTACTTGCTGCACCATTATTCTACATTTTGATAAGGCTTGCATCACAAAACATACAGCTCTGCATCCAGCAAACGCCTGGATGCTTTAAATCCACCGTCAGCACCAGAGACGTTCGCGTCATGTCTTGTGGTAACGGGATTTGCTCCACCCAGATCCAGCCTCGCTCTATCGAGTGCCGCAGGAAGAAGGACGACTGCGACCTGGCCGAGTACTGCGACGGGAAGAGCACCACCTGTCCCGAGGACGTGTTCGCTGTGAACGGGCTCCCATGCGATAAGGGTCTGGGCTACTGCTACAACGGTCAGTGTCCACAGAGGGCAGCGCAGTGCAAGAAGGTCTACGGCAACGGTAAGCGACTCGGCTTTCAGGTGACGTTCAAAAGTGAGACTAACAACAACGAGGTCAGCTGTGAAACGGTTTGATTCTCGTCTGTCCAGCTGCCAATGAGGCTCCTTCGTCCTGCTACAACTACAACACTAAAGGAAATAACTTTGGTCACTGCAAACGCTTCTCCAACACCGACTTTATTCCCTGCCAAAAACAGTGAGTCTCAGAACAGTCCTTATAATTACTATTATTATCCCCAACTCTAGTGATGCACCAAACAAACCAGCAGAAACTAACAGTCAACACAGCTGATGGCTCCGATCGGTGACTGACAGGCCTGAAACAACCTGCTGTTCAGTAAATACAACTAAACTGATCGTCGCCGATTGTGATCCGTATTCCCAATATGAAATAATTGGCTTTTATTAATCCTTTCCTAAAATGCAGGTCAACTAAAATCTCTATTTTTTAACAAATAAATGAATAAGTAGCTTTAAAGGATTGTTTGTTTATTTGAATCCCCATCAGTCACTACTGTAACAATGGCTGCTCTTCCAGGAATCCACATCATAAAACAAATATTGCAAAAACAGTCGCATAAATTCACAGTTCTACCACTTGATAACAAAATTAAGCTTAAAGGTGGCCTATTATACTACTAGAAAAAATAAACTCAAATTTTCTAGAATAACTAAGGAAATCCCAGAGCTCCAAACTTTGAATCTCTGAAATTTCCAGTTTTTTTTTTACAAAATTTCTGAAATTAATCTCAAAAAATTTTGTTTTTTTGGCAGAAATTTTCCCCAAATTTTTTCCATCTGCCATGGCCCCATTACAAAATCAAAATGAAACCTCAAAGGCATCTGAGAACTGGAGTCGATTACTAAGTCTGATTGGTGCATCTCTAATTGGTCGAGATATTTCCCATTCAGCTCCCTCAGGTGAAGTTCAGGGACAGACGTAAACATGAGCCTCTTGTTTTCTGTGCAGAGATGTTTTGTGTGGGAAGCTCTTCTGCCAGGGCGGCAATCCGAACCCAATCTACGGCCAAATGATCACATTTTCTACGGGCTGCAAGGCGATGTTCTTTACCGACTACACCAAAGACTACGGGCAGGTGGATGAAGGCACCATGTGTGGAGAGGGAAAGGTACTTGTTTTTCACTTTTTCCAAGTTTTTAGATTTATCACCCTGTGTTCGCAGCAGCTTCAAAGTGTGTCTGTGTGTTTCAAGGTGTGCAGCCAGAACCAGTGCATGGATCTCGAGAGTGCGTACAGAAACACAAACTGCTCGGCAAAATGCCCCGGCAACGCTGTGAGTACACGCCAGCATGACAGCTTTCCTAAACGCTAACTGTGTCTAGATTGGAGTGATAAACATTCTGCAAATGGCACCAGCTGTTCATCTGGAGCCGTCACTTTCTGTCTTCTCAGATGTCCAATTTAGAGCAACTCCACAACATTTTCTGTTAAGTGCTTTAAAAAAATCACTAATAAAGCTTGACATGTCAATTTTAAAGAATAAAGTAAGGTTTACTTCTCTTAATAATAGTAAATGGTAAGAGTAGGGACGCAACAATCCACTTTTTTCACTTCCGATACCGATATCTGAGGTTTAGTACCGATCCAAAAACAGATTAATTGATTAAAAATGTCTTTTTTAACACAAACATAAAGGTATTAAATACAAATGTGCAATTAGGAGCAGAACAGCCAATGTAAAGAATAAAGAATAAAGAAACTGAAACGGACAAAAACAAACTGCAATAAATAGTTTGTTTTTGTGCAATTAGGAATTAGAAAGTGCAAATAAGAGTTCTAAACATAATGTAAAATAAATACTAAAGCCTGATGTCACTCAGAGCATGGAGCATAGAGTTAGACTGAATAGATCTGCCCTTATGGATAAGGCAGATTGTCACCGATACCCCCATCTGGATTTTATTTCAATCTGATAGTGTGTGTGTGTTCAGGGTCCAATGTGTGTGTTCAGGGTCCAGTCTGTGTGTTCAGGGTCCAGTCTGTGTGTTCTCTTCAGGTGTGCAATCACAGGAGTGAGTGTCAGTGCCTGCCCGGCTGGTTGCCTCCTAACTGCGGAGCAAAGGATGATGCTTTCAGTTCTCTGTCCACTGGTACGAACCGTCTCCAGATGTTCATCAGCACAAATCCTGGATTCAGATAAACTCATGTCTGATTCATTCCTGCAGGAGCAATCATCGCCATCTCCCTGGCTGTCATTCTGGTGATCCTCGGCCTGGTTTTTGGGGTTGTGGGGTTCATGTGTAGGAAGAAACATAGACCAACCCTGCCAGTGTAAGCGACATTCACCCCACAGATGGTTTTATTGTTCCTGTTCGTCATGATGATGACCGAATTCCTTCCCAACAGTTCACAGACGCAGAGAAAAGCTCCAGCAGTAAGCAGCTCTGCACCTCATGTCAACCAGGAATACACCATCAGTCAGCCCAGGCCACTCAGACAGGTAACGGCACGGCATCGTGACGCAGGACTGTACATCAGCTGCTCAATATACTTAGAACTATATGGCTCAACTTTTAGGCACCGAAGCCCAAAGGAGCTCCGCCTCCTCCACCTCCAGCAGGGAACCGACCCAAACCACCGAGCCAGAACTACATCGCTGCACGCCAGGTAAACACTTCCTCTGGGACAGCTGCCATGGTGTATTAAGGCCATTGCAGATAGAAAATAAAAGTAGTAAAAAAAAAAATCAAAGAATCAGACGTTTTTTGAAATGTTCATTTTCTGAATTTTTTTTAGAAAAAAAAAATGGAGGAATTTCTAAGTTTGAAAAGTCAAAAATTTGCAGAGCTCAAATTTTGAGATCAAAATTAAACTTGGAAAATGACAAAATTTCGAAAAATTTTCAAAAGCTCCTGAGATCAATCTAAAAATTTCAGAATTTTTGGTTGAAATTTGGCTCTTTTTTAAAATCTACAATGGCCGTATTACGCCACCGTAACAGACTTTGGCCGATCGTACAGTGGATCAGTCGCTCCGCCCACGTAGAAGTATACCTCAGGTAGAGCGAACCTCCAGTAAACAAACAGTTATAATAGTTGAGATAGTGAAGCTCACTGCTACCTGAGACATTTTTGCCTTATCAAACACTAAGGCAAAGATGGCAGACATTAACATTTAAAAAATAAAATAAATAGAACGAGCTATACATTAGGGTTATTTGCGGAAAACTACAGAGAAATTAATGTCAAAGCCCAAGGGTCTAGTAAAGGATTACAGATATGGTGAATGTGAAGGAACGTTCTGGGTCGACCCAGACACAATTGATCACGTATGTTTTACAAAGAAACTTTACGTTTGTAGCCACAGCACACAATCGAGCTTTATGCATTAATCTTCGACTTAACCATTCAACATTAAAGATGAAATTCTAACAAAAAAAAGAGGGTGATTTATATGCAGTTACCTTCATACAGACGAACACGTGGAAGTTATGCCGTCGATCAGTACGGTTGTATTCAGTTGCTCATGGTCGGCCGCAGACTCCATTTGGGTTTTAGAAATCGAATAAAATATTCCGTGTTCTAAATTCTCTAGATAAAGCGTGACGTAATTGCATATCCCCCAATGACTAACGTTTAACAATTTTTCCGAATTATTTTTTCACCAAATCTTGATTAATCTTGATTCAACTTCGACGGAGGTTCAGTTCCTCCAGGTGTTTGACTTCAGAACAAATTGCGGCCGCCGATTGGTTAGTTGCTGACAAACCCACTGGATTGATTGACAGGTGGTGTCATGTTAAAAAGAGGGAGATTAAAAAAAAAACTAAGACGTCAATTATAGATGTAATGTTTCACCAGTAACAACCGAAAAAGTGGTGAAAATCAACACTGACCACTAGAGGGCAGCACAAACAGACATAAACACAACACTGGTTCTTTTTAACAGCCCAGCTCCAGTTATAGCTAGCAGGTGGTGTAAATCTCACATTTCTTGCTTTTTTTCCCCCCTCCCTGTCTGTGCTGTCATTAATCTGGCAACAAGTAACACATTCCAAATAAATAAATAAATAAACAATCAGCTAACCCCAAAGGAAACAAATCTAGCTAAAGTGTAAATTGAGAGAACTGGTAGTTGCTGAGGATGATGGCTCTTTAAAAATTACTATTTTATTCATTAACTGAGATGGAAATCATCTAAACTAACCCAGCCCTATGTAAGTAATGATTTAAACCCGTGTAAAATAATTTGTTAACATTTTTTAGTTCATTGTCACCAAACCTCAATACTGCTAGACTTGTAGAATCAATAAATCACTTAAATAATAACTGCCAGACAACATGACACAACATAAAACAGACTCAGAGTTGGAAAAATAAAGCCAGATATAATGCCCATGTAACAGTGACCCAGCAGTGGCAACTATAGGGGTCTGCCGCCCAACCCCCAGGGAATCATGTTCAGTTTATACAAAGGCATAAAGGGTCATTTTCTTCAATCAAGACATAAATATAAATATATGTTTATATATTTATATTTGTTTGTTTATCCCAGGCTCTGAGACCCGTACCTCCCCCAAAGGTCTGATGTGCAGCCTGGTGCCAAGTGTTGGTGAACACTGACACCTTCCCTCTGGTCTTCAACTAGAGGCAGCTGGCCGGCCACAGGGACAGAGTCCTGTTTGCATCAACCTCAACAGGAAGTACAAACTGAACTTGTGTGGCACCCTACTATGGATTTCACAGGGATTCACTTCTGTTTTCTTATGGCACATTTGTGTACTGTACATTAAATTGACCCTGACTGTAATTAATGTATATTATTTTCTAACATTGTTGGGGCAGAGCTGCTTTTAGCTGCAGTGTTCGTTTCTCTGTGACTCCTGTGGAACCAGCCCGTTTGAAAGTGGCGCGTTGGACTGCAGTTACTGCATGTTTGCATTTCATGTTCCATATCAAGCCATGTCTTTGTTCATAAGAAACTGTGAAATATGTTTTTATATTTATATTTTATTTACATTGTCAATGTAATGTGCAAGCAGCGTCGTTGTAAAATAATTTTTTAGCTCGTGTTTACATCAGAGTTGACAAATCATCAAATGTCTGCTGGTGGTTTAACTTCATTTCCAGGAAATAAATCATAATGTTGGCAGACTGAACTCAGAATACCCAATGAATGTTGTAAATTTGTAATTATTTGACTTTTGTTTCATAATCAAATTGTGTTAAAATAGCAAAAATGATGACACAAGCAGCATTTCAGATGAATGTAATTGTTAAAACTCAACAAATAGAATGAAAAACAAACCGCCATGTGCTTTTTATGTTGTAGTCTTGTGCTCCATAGGAGGTCATAACCCTGGTGGGGTGAACTAAAGAAGAGTGGGGCTCAGAATACAGAATTTTCAGCACTAAAATCTAAATAGATAGGAAAACTCCTTTCAAGAAAACCATTTAACATGTAACAGACGTTTTTTCTCTTGTCGACTTTCCCCAAGAATAACTCTAAAGGAAATGGAAATATTGAAAAACTATACAGCTAGACCAAGGAAAATCGGAGCGCTAACACAAAAATTTGAGAGAGCATGGAGAATATATGAACGTTAGCAGAAGAGATTAATTCCTGCTTTCAAATTAAAAATTTACAGTAAAATACCCCCTCCTCCCGCACACACACACACACACTGTGTGTGGATGTCTGGGAAATCAAATAGGGTTTTTTTGTTTTGTTACTTGCATTCTGGCTTTTCATCCAAATGAAAACTTTAATACCACTAAAGACAATTATTTCTAAAAATCCAAGCAAAGTGGACATTTGAGAAAACTGTGTGAATACGGAAACAGATTTAGCGCCACTCATTAGTCTGCCACAAATAATCCAACAATCAACGTATTTCCTTTGACATGATTCCCAATAGACATGGTCTTGTAGTTTATTATTAACTTCATATTCTAATACAATTTAAAAGTAGTTCAAGCAATTTACCCGTGTAAAATAATTTTCTGTATTAATGTTTCTTTGCTTAATTTCTAACAAAGTAATGACTGTTTAGAGGAAATCTGATTGGCTGTTATAGGTTTAAGATTTCTGCTATACTGCCCCCTATGGGTTTGGCATGCTTCAAACAACGTGAGGGGGAGGTTTTTGCAGATTCGTGTGGATGAAAACTTTACTGAAACCAATCTATGGATGGACACATTAGATGAGGGAGAATGAATGCGATGCTACAACGGAGAGGAAAAACGGCTGTGATAACATCACCAGTCAGTCAAATCAATGTTTAGAATTAGTTTTATTCCCCCCCCCCAAAGATACATGTACATAAACAAATTAATGGCCTTGCATGACGTATACAATACTGTTCTTGACCCTCTATTACAGCTAACATAAGATTTGACTTTTTTTTTTTTCAAACATTCTTAAAGATATGTTTAAGATCTGACAGGAGTCAGTACACTGTATGGCTCATCCTGGAAAGCCTTAAAAACAATTTCCAACATCACAGATGAATGTAAACAAAAAAAACAAAAAAATAACTTCATTTCCTGGGAGAAGTCCAGAAATCTAATGAGCCGCACTGCAAAAGATAACATGTTCAACAAATAACTCAAGTTCGAAGTCTTGTGTGACTACAAGCTTCCTCGCATACACAGGAGTCCTACACACTTTATGTGTAGAAGAAGAAAGAATAAATAAAAACACTTTCTACATCCATTTCAGTTTTCTAACTGAAATAAAAAACATTCCCTGTAAATTTATGGCAAGTTTTTCTAATTTTTTTTTTTTTTTTTAATTATGAAACCTGCAAATACCAGAGACTGGCAGGAGGGTAGGAAGAACACAAGGAAGTGAAGACAGGAAGGAAAGACAAAGGGAAAGAATGCAAAAGAAGAACAAGGAAGAAAAGAAACAGGCCCAGAATGGTGTAAGGTAACAAGGAGTAAAAAACAAACAAACAAACAAAAAAAATAGAGCTAGAAGGGTTGAAGAAAATAATGTGAAAAACAAGGAAACAATGAAAGACAAGGTTAGGCTTAGCAAGAACAAATGAATGACAAGACAGCAAGGAAGGAAGAGTTCAATGACAAACAGTATGAGGGAGAGAAACAGGAAATAGAAGGAAAGGCAAGGAAGTGAAAAGGGAAGGACGCAAAAAAGAAAGGCGTAAGGGAGGTCAAAGGTCGGATATGGAGACACCAGGATGGATGGAGAAAAAGCTAGGTAGGAAACAAAAAGGACAGAAGGAATAAAGAATGGAAGGAAACTAGGAACGAAGGACACCATGAGGGACAGAAGGATAGACGGATGTTTGGATAAAGTTTTCTTTTTCCGTACTTGTTCTGACCAAATTCCAAAAAAAAAAAAAAAAAAAAAAAAAAAAAAGAAGACTGTGTGGAAACCCTGCTGATGCTGCCACTTGTTTTTGTACTCGTTTTAAAAAAAAAAGTAATAAATTCACAGGACAATACCAAATCTTAAAGCTTATATGCACCTACCTTGTTAAAAAAAAACAAACAATGCAGTTACAGCCAGGTGTGTCGGAGCACCAGTTTCTTTAGCAAAAAACGGTTTTTAAAGGGCTGGGAGTGACTGAACAGATGAGTACCTCAAGAGAGTTAGATCACCGAGAAAAAGGGAAAACACACACACACACAGGGTGTCTCAGCAGGTGTCGATGGCCCCGCCGACTTAGAGGGGACGGAGAGTCTTTAAAAATACTACATCTCTGAGTCAGCCGTGCTTGAGATGAGGAAAGTACGGTTAGGCCTTGAGTGCGGAGGCGCTCCCTTTTATAGCACCGTCCCCGCTGAGCACAGTGACTCAATCCATTGTGTCTGGGTACGGCGCCGTCAAAGCCGTTTGGCGTTTCCAATCTTGCTCTTCTTGTGCCGTGTTCATGGCTATGAGCTAAAAGGAATCGGCAACCTGTATAATCAACATGAGAACAGTGAAACAAAAGCAGAGCACGCCCCAGTTCTGTTTTTAGAGTCTTCAAATGGAACTTCGAGAGTCAAACTGCGGCGACGCCGTCAAACATATTTCCAAACGAAGCAGTCCTGGGGGAGAACGGAGTTTGCCAGTGTCCACAGCTTCCGGAAATACTCCATAAATATGTCCCTTTTGTGTGAGAAAATAAAACTATTGTCCTTTTTTCTTCTTACAGAAGCTGGTTGTCTTAAACCAGGGGTGTCCAAAGTCGGTCCTGGAGGGCTGGCATCCTTCATGTTTTAGTTCTCTCCCTGGTGGTAGTAACACTCTTTTCAGCTTGTCAATGTTCTCCTTAGGTCTCTAATGAGCCATCATTTGATCCAGGTGCGTTAAACCAGGGAGAGAACTAACACATGCAGGATGCCGGCCCTCCAGGACCGACTTTGGAGCCCCCTGTCTTAAACCGTCTCTTGATATTCAATCCCGATCAAACAGTAGCTGCGTCTCCATTGACCAAGTTATTGCGCAGTTTGATGTTTTGAAAATAAATTCGCTTAATGGAAGCATAGCAATTTTGTAAAAAAAAAAAAAAAAAGAAAAAAAGAAAAAGTTTTTCTATCAAAAGTTTTAGTGCTAGGATGACGGGTTATGTTTTTTGGCCGAATTGAAAATTGGTTTATTTTACAAAACTCAAATTTAAGCACATTTTCTGCATCATAAGTCACGTCATTGACAACCGGACATTGCAGACCACAAAGAAGAAGACAGCAGGAAGCAGTTGGAAGATCGTGACACGTTTCTAAATTACTTATGTTAATTAATTTACTCATGTGGCATTTTAATTGTTTCTTATTTAATAAAAACACCACAATTGTGAAATTGCAGAACATCGACAAAGTTTTGCGCGCATTGCTAACGGAAATGCAGCTAGGTGTGACCAGAGCAGGAAGCATGTTGTATGAGAACCAGTGTCCACAGCTTCCAGCATTGATGCCGTTTTATTTTACCGACACATCCTTCATATAAACATCATCCCTGAACAACACCTGAACCTGTTCATATGGATACAAACAGGAAACCATCATTTCAGTCTCAGAGTATTAAACGATCATTTACATTAAAATTACATTCAAATGACAGACTTTCAATGCCGTATTCAAATTCTGTGGTCAGTTTCTGAAGCATCAAGCCTTCTGATCGTCACAGACTCCCAATTTCTCCTAAAGAACCATTGGATACATATTTTTTTCCCCACCCGACCTCCTTATTGCAGTCTTTAGTTATAGTAGGAGCAGGTGTGATGTTAAGAGTAATATTACTAATATTTTAAAATGATGTGGAGTTGTTGTACAGGGTTAAAGATTTAAAACATCTAGCATTAGTGATTAGTTCAATAGAGTCTTCTCACTAGACAGCTTGAAAGCCCAAAATGTGTACCGTTCAGTCTTCCTGTTATCTGCTTCAAATAATGCTCTCTCTCATTCTCCTCCAGCCTGAATGAAGAACAGACTCGTCTCTAACTAAAACTGTCTCCTTTAAGACAGCTTCTGAAAACCTTGAGTGTTTTCATAGCTGATCAACCAAAGTCACAACATTTGTTGCCTTTTCATCGATTCGCTTTCACACTGCACCTTACCAAACCATCTAAACCTTTCAATAAGCTTTTTACTCCCTTGCCTGTGGTGTTGCTGCACCAAGAGCCTCTGAAACGATACAAAAATCTCTAAAGAACACACTGAGCGCGACTTCCTTCTTCACAAAATGTAAACAAAATAAAAGTGGTGTCAGATTGTAGCATTTGTAGGATTTCTCTTTTGTCTTTGGCAAAAGACCACGAGCCTTTTCTCCGCCTCGCGTGTTTGTTTTGGTTGTATTTTCCCAGATAGCCCTGCATTTTATTTTCTATTTTTGGAGCAGTCTCCTGTCCACTTAACATTCACATATGCATTTGAACCGCACCAGAGTTCACTCAAACCAAACTGAGATTGAGGTCTGTAAGAGGACCAGAGTTCGCTTTTCTGATCTACATCCAAGTTCGATTACGCGTCCACACCTCCCCAAACGAACTGGACTTTCTAAAAGAAACAAGTTGGAGTTTGATTAAAGAAGATTAAACTGGGCTGGTGTGAACTTTGTAACGACTTCCACTTTAAATAATAACGTTACAACAACCTGGTGAGCATGGTGCATTCACTGATTGGATTAAAGATCAGAATTTTTGAATTTCTGACTGCTCAATAACTAGACAGGGAAGATCAAGTTGACCATCAGTCAAGTGAATCACAACAGGTAAACACCGTCTGTATGGACCGGAACCGGAGTCCAGAGAGGCTGTTCAGGACAGTATTTGTACTTTTCCCTTATTAAAAACGCAGAGCAATAATTTAAAAAAAAAAGCTAACATGAAGGGGTGAAACACCTACATAACAAGAGCTCTATTTGAATCCATTTGTAAAATTCTCCTTTAAAAAAAAAAAAAAATTCACATAAGTTCAGTGTCAGTTTGCATTTACACAACTGTCTTCAACCTTTACTCACTATTAAATAAATCTAATATATATATATAAACTTCAATAAATAAGATCAGACTGCTCCGGCAGGCTCATCATTCAGTACGTCACGGGTGTTTTTTCTTCTCCTTCTCTTTGTTGTTGGAAGTGTTTTCCCAGCACTATGGCCTCCATCGGTTTTTATCCACTGAAGCTGCCGTCTCTGTGCTCCATGTGAGCAAAAGGTGGACAGACAGTTTCAGCAGAGGATACAGACAGACAGACGGACAGAGACGCACACAGAGCTTGTTTTGTTAGCTGGGAGTGGGGCGGTATGGGTTCTGTGAGGATACGGCAGAGCCTGCGCCTCCCTCTATCCGTTGGTGCCGTTCTTGCTGGGGGCGTTGGCGTTCACGGCCGTCCCGTCCGGCTGCTGGCCGTCTTTGCGTGGCGGCATCCTCTCGTTTATCCTGTCCAGGCCTCGGGCCTCTTCGAAGTTCCGAATCTTCCTCGTGGGAGAGAAACCTTGAATGGCTGGAGAACAGACGGGGGGAAGGGGGATAAAAATGGAACATGAAGAGAAGTTAGAAAGCTTTTAAGCGTGCCGTATCTTGTATGGAGAGGCTCAACTAAAAGTGGATCTCAGGAAAACAAAGGTTGAAACACGGTCTCTGTCTAGCACAGTACACAGGATCTGCGAACACAACACATGCATGGCTAAAAAAAAGAAAAAAAAGAAAAAAAAACTACTGGCGTTCAAACACCAGTTGGGACAAACCACGACAAAACACTCCACATATTGTAAACTTACGGTTGTGTCAAAAGATGGCCGAGGAAACCAGAGAACATGTGTAAATGGAAAGCAAACCAGAGAGGAAATCTTCAGACAAACTTTCCACATGTGAAGCTCTAAACTTAAGGAAATAAAAGCTCAACTAAGTCCTTCAAAATATCCTCAATAATATCTGTGATGGTGACCTATTTGTTCTGAGCTCATTCTTCAGACTAATAACTCCACAGTCTTAGCCAACTTCCTCAAATTGAGTTAACTAGCAAGACCGCTAAGGGTCAATTCTGGCCCCTGCACCATACATGGTACTCCAGTTAACATTAATTAATATTAAATAAATAAACAACAGATTTATTTAAGAAATATGTTCCAATAGTTTTCAATAATAGTCAGATAACATAAGGTACATTTCTATTGAAAATGTGGTGAAAGGTGAAAACAAATCGTCACTGGACGAAACACTAAATATATCAAAACACATTTTTTGAAGTAAAAGGAATCCCAATAAAGGAACCCAAGAGTTACAAAACAAATTAGGCAATAAAAAAATTTTGAGTGCATGTTTATATTGATTTTAAAACTGGGGTCAAAACCGAACCCAAACACCAGTTATAGGATCAGCTAACTCTACAGGAAGGCTAACTCAAGCTACGTGGCTAAGCAGTTTGAAACAGGAAGCTGCATCTCAGTGCTGAAGTGTAGCTTTAGATTATGACCCCAGTGTGTTCTGATTCTACACAGAGCCATCCTAACAATGTGTGCAGCTGACTTTGGTTTGGTTTGTAATGTGAAGCATCCCAGAATTGTGAAGCAATTCCGTTCTGAATGGATTTGATCAAAGTGTTTCTCATGCAATGGCCGTCACTACGGAGCTAATGAGGCGGTCGGCGTAGCAACAGCCAAATGGTGTAACGGGATTAGTTTCTGAAAATATCCCAGGCAGGGATGTCCCTGATCTTATCTTAGCCCCGTCTAAGCAGGCTTTTCTCTGTGCGGGGAGCCAAACTTGACCAGAAAACACTTTACTCAAACAGCAAGAGACTCCTCAGCAACAAGGGGACAGGCAGGTCCCAAACTTCAATCTACAAACACCTTTAGTTGTGTGGAGAACCAGAAATTCCTTCAGCTCCACAGTTTGCCCCAGAAAACTAGCTAAGCCCAGTCGTACGGGCTTAGCTAGTCCACCAGCTATCCCCCTGTTTTTTTTTTTTTTGTTTTTTTTTTAAAGTTAAGAATTAACAGAAAAATTTGAAAATAAAACATAAACAACAAAGAAAATATGGCATTTCTGTAGCTTTTGCATGTAGAATCGGATGCCATTATCTTTTCGTAAATGACTGTTTCGTTATATGTAAACCTGGCTTAACCTGTCTTTGCTGTCACTGTTACTAGTGTATTAAAATAAACAAACAAACAATGTTTAGCCTGGTGGTGAGGGTCAAGTGAAGCCTGGGAGCCCGCCAGGCTTATAATATACTGGGAGAAACCCTGAGCTCCGTTGGTGAAAATATTTAGAGATGCACCAATCGAGCCGAGAAAACCAGAGATTAATTGCCTATCGTTCCCCATGATTATATATGATCATCTGTGATTTTATTTCCATTGACAAAAATGCATCAAAACTAGAAAAGATTGAAACCTAGAAATTAGTCAACTATCAGCATGTACTACTTGTTTGGATCAGAAAAATCAGGTGGATATAGAATACTTCAAAGGGGCAGTAGGAATGTACTTTCCAACCACACATTTTGCCATTTTGTAGCAAAATCAAGTAACTGTGTTCCTCTCAGCTATTATAAAAAATGCTGAATATGTCAAACATGACTTAAAATAAATTTGGCTTTGCAATTGGACACCTTAAAATTGGAGCTCTGTCACTTTAAGAAGCTCCTGCTCTTTCAGAGACTCAGGAAGTCATTATGACATTTTTCTGTTAAGCTGTTTACAAACGTTTTTCAGAGCACTGAACTGAAAAACACTCCCAACAAAATGAAACTTATTTTGTAGATACATAATTTGATGAAAATGTGATTAGTTAATTATAGACTCAACTGAATCGTTTAATGGAGTCTCACTACTAGTTTTATCAGACCATCTTGACATTGTTTTCAAATGCTGGAATTTACTAGTCTTTTCACACCATGGTCTGGGTTATTTAACAGTGGAGGGGCTATATTCAGTAAAGTATTTCTTACAGCAACATGATACCTAGTAATTATATTACAAAAAAAGAGACACAACAAACAAGATAGAAAAGTCCACATTTCGGGGTTGTTTCTATCTTTAAAGGGTGGAAACCACAAACACAAGACACAGACAAGGAATGCGAGTCACACTGCATACCTTTTGCTTTAGCTGCTTCAATGGTAGCTTTGTTATTGGGAGTTTGGGAAGGAGAAAAAAAATTGAGTCATCAAAAGTGGGCTAAAAACAATACATTCAACAGCAAAATCAAATATCAAGCCTTTCTGAGACGACGAGGAGGGACAAGAGAGCAACGCGAGTCGTCTTCAAAACCTCTGAATAAAAAGGGTGAGAGGTCAGACTGAAGACAACTGGGACAGTGTTGGTGTTAAAGGGTCAAGAGGACTTATGTGAGGAGAGCTGAGGGGGGATTTACCTCAGCTCTAATAGTCGGACTGGGAGATGTGCCACGATGACCAAGCAGGGCGACGCAGCAGGGCGCTCGTACGTTAGCTCCTGTACAACAAATCTAATCAGATTTTTATTTTTTTTTTATTCTTCATGTTTTACTGAAAAAAATAAAAATAAAAATTGGAAAGAGACTGTGCAACCAGATGAGGCATGACTGAATAAAAAGTTGTTCCCAAAACTACTGTACAGCTGAGGTCACACAGCAGGTCTTGATGCTCAAGTCATTAAACTCCATCGCAATGAGACTTCTGTGTGAAAGGTTTATGACACCAGTAAAAATGAACAATATTAAAGTTATTCAGCAATATGGAGCTGATGGTATCATCACCAGATCGTAGCAAGATGAAGGAAGCTAATAGAAAGAAATCATAATTAATAGCAATAACTTTTTGTTGACTGCAGCTTCTGTAGTGAAGTCTGTCTGGATGTGCAGTCTGAGCGAGGAGTGGTGGGATAGCGGCGTGTCAATGGCTTCAGTGATGCAGACATCTTTCATAAGTTCATAATTATAATTTTCAGTCATTCTTTAGATCTAACTTCTTCTGATTCAGAATTATGTCACATGTCTGTGACTTAAAAACTGGATAAAATGTGATGTGGCCATTCAGACTGCAGATGCTTGTAGCTGGTGGCGCTTGCCTGCTGTCTGAACCTTATTTATTCCAAAGTCTGCTTTTCTTTGGCTAACAATAGCTACGTTTCCATTAATCATAAAATTGTGCAGATTTAAATTATTAAAATAAATGTGTTTGATGGAAACATGGGAATTTAGAAAAAAACATTTTTGATAAAAAGTTTTGCATCAGAATGAGGTTTTAGGATTTCTGTTTCAATACTGTTTCCAGTCGTATTGAAACAGACGTATTTTGTAAAACTGCAATAGAAACGCTTTTTGACATGACACGAGTCACATGATCAACAGCTGGATGTTTCTACTGGCAAAAACCAAGAAGATGACAGGAAGTAGATGGAGGGCGATTGTTTGTCTTCATTTTTTTTCAGACTATCTGCAGCTGGCTCCCCCTGAGCTCTCACTGCATCACAGGTCATAAAATTGTACGTCATCCTACTGTGTAGAATCCATAACTATTCTGTAAAATCACCAACTACATTTACATAGATGCTCACAAGTAGGGGGGCTTGTTGCTCCAAAGCCTGAATAAGATGCCAAAGTCTCCTCTGATTGGCTGATAGATGAGTGTTAGAATCATGGTTGAATAATGACTATATATCATCTAAATGTTTAACATCTGTTGCTGCCATGATTTCTAATGAGTTATCACTTGAACAAGTTTAGGGAAATTGTGTTTTTTCGACAACAGAATATTAAATACTTGGGTACATTTGTAATGGAAACGCTGCTAGTGACTCCTTCTATTCAACTGGTCTTACTAAATGCACATTCTTAGCAGATTTAACATTTAACATGTATTTTTTGTTTTAAATGTGGCATTAACTGTGGTTTAAGCTGGATACAGGCTCCTTCACTGAAAGTCAGAGATCAGTAAAGAAATTCTCCCTAGTTTTTCACTTAAGTGCACCAAGCTAGTATAAACTAAACATTTGAAACAAGAACCTGAGCATTAAGAGAAAACTGACAATAAATCCTGATGCTGAAGTGTCCTGGCTGATCTGAAAGCCGTGGTGAGCCGAGCTGGCACGGACTGTGGCATTCTGTAAAAGGTCACATGTGGTTTCTGCTTCGATCGCTCGGCAGCTTCTGTAAGTCTCCAACATGGCCGATCGTGGCTCCCAGCATGTCCTCTGGCGGCCCGCACCAGGCGCTGGCCTTTAGATCAAAGGGTCAGGAGCCACTTCCAGGCGACAGGCTGACCGGCCTACACACGCACACCTCCAAAAAACCCTCCGCTGCATGGGGCTTGAAACAAAGTTTAGCCAGTGCTTCCTGTCATTGATCTGGAGCCGTTCAAAGAGGCGAGTGAGGGAAGGAAGCTGGCCTTCAACAAACAGCACGTCAAAATAAAACCCTTTATTTTCCATTTTAGCTTCTTTTGCAAACGGGTTGATCTGGTGTAACTGAAAATCATACCTTTCCCGCCTTTAAGTCCAACTGGGATGGAAAACATTAAGGTGTTAGCAGCACCAGTACGGTTGGTAGAAAAACATTCTGAAGTAATTTTAAAGCAGGTCTGGAATTAACATCATCAGAAAGTTTGCCAAGTATTTACGCCTCTTTAGGTTTTTCCACCTTCAATCATTTTACAAACACAAACTGATGAAGAATAATTAAATGGCAGTTTGGTTCAAGTCTAGACTTTGACTGGATCATCCAAAAACATGGATATACTTTCTGAACCTCCTGGTTGTTTGTTTAAATAATTCTCTCCTTGCTGGTCTACAGGTTCAGCTGGACGGCCATGTTTTCTGCCTCAGTCCCATTCGTTTTCCATCTCTAATTAGATCAGAGGTCTGCAACTCCAAAGAGCCATTTTTGCCTTCAGTTCAGCTCAATAAAACTCCCTTATAGCTGCAAATGTTAAATGAAAGTTACGCATAAAATCACTTTTCATTTCTGATAAATATTGACTATGTAAAATGTGTTATTTTTGAAAAGCCACAAGTTTAAAGTTGAGTTTAAATATGTTTAAAGTCGACAAGAAATTTGAAAATATCACTAAGAAATGATGCGTTATTGGAAGACTTTGACAATACCTACGCACCAACTATAAAGTCTTAAAAAAGGCAAATATAAAAAAACTAAAATAAATAAACAAGCCATACTTAGCCTGATGCAGGCACAAGTAAAGACTGTTGGCCCGTCTGCCATATGATACACTGGGGAAAACCTTGATCTATATTTTTAAACATTACTTAGTTTTTGAAGGGAGCCAAACCCAAATACACACAACATTTAGAATGTCATTTCCAATTCTTAATCACGCACTCAAATGCTTTTCTCTATCACGTAAAATGACATTAAAATGCATGAAAGTGACAGGATGAGGAAGAGCAAAGTTCTTCTGCACTCAGCAGTATAAAGAACACTGATCCTTTTGGTAGGAATACTACTCACATTTTGGTATTTACACTTATTTACTAAGTGACACTGCGAGTCGCTGCCAAGAAATATTCTGCCACATCTAACGACATTTGCTATATTAGTACAGATTACATAAACAATATCACAGCCTGAGCTGTGCTGAAGTGGGCTTTGTTAAATCTGGACAAACGCAGACTTTTCCACTTTCCACTATTTTTTTTTTGGCTAACAAGGTTTAAAAAGTATTCACCCTCTTGGATGTTTAACATTTTTTTTACTGACATCACAAATTAAACATGATCAACAGAATCTGCCTTTTTGACAAAAAACAAAAAAAACAAAAAACACAACAGTTAACGACAAAGTGTAAACTGATTTCACAGGTTTTCATCCAAGGAAGTGAAAACTTTTTACAGGTACTTGATATGACATTTACCAATCTACCTTGAAGGGTATGTTTCTGTAGCCCAGCAGCTAGCTAGACTGAGTTAGAGTGAACTTACCGTTCTGTAAAGTCTGCTTCCCCCCTGACAGCACTCCCATTGGAAGAGTTCCAGTAGGGGTGAGGCCTTTCAGCGTTAGCACACTCTCACTCTCCTCCCTAAAACAAAGCAAACAGACACAAAAAGGTCACTTTACGGCAAAGAAGGATGCAGAAAGACAGCAAAGACAGCAGACAGTCCCGAGGTCAAAAGGTTAATCATCAGGGGTAACTGAACCCCTGCACCTCCTCGTAGGAAAGTTGCATTGCAGTGAAACCAAAAATGCTAACGTGTGTCCAGGTTAACTTGTGTCAATTTTAGCAGCTGAAGCACTGTTTCACTTGTGTCATCACAAGGATTTTGATTTACATTTCTGCTTAGCGCACCTAACCTTTTAGCTAGCACTGCCACTGTCTACAGTGTATTTTAAATAAACCACAGGACTGATTATGATCCACATCTAGATGTAGCAGTGTAAAATTTCAAACAAACAAAAGTAAAGCACTGATCAGAGAACCAGACCTGAGAACTGAGAAAACCCGCGCCATTTTCCCCACGGCACGAATCTTGTTCCGGATCACCTCCTTGCGCATCGCCGATGTGCCACCTGGGAACAGTACAGACGGTGCAACGGTTATTTACTTCCCCCTCTAGAGATATTCTGCTTGCACCAATTTGTGAGATGAAAACACAGGATAAAGAGATCAGCGGTCTAAGAGCTACAGAAGAGCTTTCAAAGATGTCAGGTAAGGTTGTACCAAGTTTTGTTTTTAATTTAATCACAGTTTCTGTTGTTTTTTTTTTTTTTACCTCATCTGGTTCTGATAAATGGTCATTATCAAGGAGAAATGGTATTCAGAATGGGAATCCTGAAAGGTTTTCCAATAAAACCATCAACTCGGCGCTGACACTTCAAATTTAACTTTAAAAGGGTCAAAAATGATTTGGCATTAATGACAGAATGACCATGTCAGCAGCGCTACCAACAGCTAAAAGTCTGACAGAACCCAAATAAGGGTTTAATAAGTTGTGACGACACCTAAACAGCTTCATTTGGGCAAATTTACTGAAGGTTAACAACTGAAATATTACCAGTTTGTTTCCATTCAGGCCAATAGGGAACAAAATGGACATATTTAGAGGAAATCGACTGTTCTGCTAAAAGTGATTTTATCATTAGGTTACCTTCATACAGGTCGTCTCCTTCTGACATGAGCTCATCATCAGAGCAAATGTTTAATACATTCACCAGCATCTCGGTCACTGCATGAGAGAAAAGGCAAATTCAGACTTAAATGATTAAAGTTCAATTTTTCAACTATAAAATTATTATTTTTTTAAATCAACGATGAAGGGGTTAAGCTGGAATATTTTCAGGCACATCAGTGTCAATGTCCAAAAAGTAATAAAAACTGAAATGAATGTTTCAATGTAAAAACTTTTAAACACTTAGTTTTTCACATTTACATGCATTTCTGTGTGTGGTGCTGTGGGATTACAATGTTAACCTCTCTAAAGTTGGGTCAGTGAAAACAGACATATAATGTTTGAACTTTTCCTTCAACAAATGTAAACAAAAATAAAGTTCTCTCCATGTGTCTACTAAAAAGAAAAATATATTTCGTTGAAATTTGCCTCCTCATTTACAAACTCACCTTTCTCTCCAACAAAAGGCAAACTCCACGTGAAGACGTCCATGAAGTTGGGCAACCAGTAGGGATGGGGGGAGCAGTTGAACTGTCGGATGTTCATCACATTGTTCTCATATTTTAATACAGCAGCTAAGATGAACATAAAATATAGGAGGAGTCAATGCAATCAATGACTGGAAATGAAGAAAAAAAAACAAAAAAACAACAATAAACACAACAGGAAAAAGACAAAACAAACAAAAAAAGGTTGAAACCTTTGTTGTTGTAGACATCTAAATAATTTGGAGCTGAAAAGATTGTGATTAATGACGGGAAGCCCGTGGTCTGGCTTTTTCTGTACATCCTGTACCTATTGGGGAAAAAACAACAAAGTCAGATCCTCAGCTTGCCAAGCCAGAACATTTCACATACTGCTGTAATCTTTTCACAAAAACAACACAATGTTTTAATGGGATTTTATGTGATAAGATAATAATAAATAAAGGTAGTGCATGTTTTCTGTTTTATTGCAAAACTTAGAAAGAAAAAAAACAGCTTCTCTTTAAAAAATGACAAATGTCTTGAGATATTTATCAAAAACGGTGAAGTTTTTTTTTTTTTTTTTTTTTAAAGGTCACGTAACATTTGTGGCTCTAAACATACAGTGTTGGTGCGATGTTAGTGGATTGTAAAGGCTGCAGACCTCTGCTGCAGAGTCTAAAACTGGGCTGTTTATGTTGATTAAGTCTCCTATACACAAATCTCCTCCCACCACAAGAGTAGAGCCTGGCATGTGAAATCAGACCAAACAGGCATCAGTGTCAGACTACTCCACACAGGTTATGATGTAAAAGCCACAGAAAGCTATTCTAAACTGTGTGGAAATGTGTAGGTAGAATGGATTTTTCATGAACCGCAAACATACAAACTCCAGGAGCTTTCTCCTGGAGGGGGAGGGGTTCCTTCAATCCGTTAAAACTCCCTATTTAGCACCGTCTGATCAGCACAACTATAGTAGCTATTGCTGCAGCGTATCTGCTCAATTACATCAATTTAACAAGGAAGACATCAAAGGCATTACGTTTCCAACTGCCTTAGAATTTTTGAATTGAAAAGTATTCCAGAAAAGAACCACACCACAGATAGTATGGAAGTAAATATGTGCCCTCAGAATTTGAATAAAAAAATGCATCTGAAACTTGAATGTTGTATATTTGCGCTTACTTTTTCAATAAAAAAAATTCAGCATTCTGGGTGTTGAAGCCTGACAACAATTGCTAATGTCTGTGACCTGGAGTAACCCTGCCATTTTTGAACAGCGAATTTTTAGACGCTGAATTTGAGACAGTGAATTTGAGCAAGTTGAATTTTTAGGGCACTGAAAATATTGCATTTGAATTTTTAAAAGTTGAAGTTTTTTATATGCTGAATTTTTTTAACACTGAAAAAATATATATATTGAAAATTTCATCACTTTGAAATAGTAATGTGAATTTTTTTAACAAATGAAAATTGCAAACATGTACAAATAATGACACTGAATTTTTTTTTTTTAAATTGAAAAAGGAAGCGCAAATATACAACATTCAAGTTTCAGATGCATTTTTTATTCAAATTCTGATGGCTCATATTTACTTCCATAACATAATCTTCCCCAAAGACAAAACTAACTCGGACGGGGAAGTTTGTTCTGAGGGACAGAGTTGAATTTGAAACCACAGATGTTGATTTATTTAAAAAAATAAAAAAAAATCACCAGGTGGTGCGTTTTTTGACGAACTGAAAATGACCCCGGATGGGGAAGTCTGCCATCATGATGAAAGCTCAGTCTTTGGGAACTATTTTTTCACTGTCCCCTCCCCACAAAAACAAATTGACCCGGACGGGGAAGTTATGTCTGAGGAAGAGCCAACGTCCTCAAAGTTATTTCTGAGTGGGTTGTCAGCTGCTGCTGACCTGTCAGCCTTCGCTGTAATTTCAACGTGAGTGGTACATTAAATATGTCTTCTGAAATGTTGAATGACAAACTTTTGCTGCCCAAAAGAAGAAATTATATGGGATAAATGTTTTCTATTGATGTTTGGTCTGTGTTTAATATGCTTTTCTTGGGTTGTTATTAACTTTGGTGGCATTGCTGGGTTGCAGACATGTGAATTTTGTAAACTTTTAACATCCAGAAAATGATAAATCATGCAAAAGAAAATTATTGAAATCTTTTTCAATTTATTATGTGATTAACTGATTTATTGTGACAGGCCTGCTTACTACAAGAATTCAGTAGTTAAAATGTATTAAAAAAGTTTGATGATAACATTATTTTCCCTCCCCGTCTCCATGGAGACGATGAAAGCAGAAGTCTGCACCTCCTTTCAGCTAAATTTGTCCATCCATTATCAGTGTATGGAATGTAACCTATTTTAAATAAGAGCTGCAACAATTAGTTTGGTAATTGAGTATTCTAATGAATTATTCTGATGATTGAGTAATTTGATTGAAAAATAAAAACGGAGTATTCTACAGATTTTTCTTTTAATTTTTAATTAATAAATTAATTAATTATTAAAATGCCTTTTAAAGTTTTGACTTGCAAACAAGTTTGAAGACCTCTTAAATGTTCTTTCATCTTACAATTAATGCAGCACTTTGCACTGCTCTACCAAATATAAATCCCTTGTAACACTCTGAAGCTCGAGGTTAACTTGTGACAAAAGGTGAAACTGTGTGAGCGCTTTTCAGAGGCGCAGCATAGTACTCACCCTGCATCCTGCGCTTCATGGGCTCTTATTACTGAGAGCAAGTTATTATTTACCAAAAAGTCACAAACTGCTGCGTAGCTGCAAAGGAAGAAAAAAGAGGAAAATAATGTTATAACATTAAAAAAAAAAAAAAAAAAGGTCAAAGCTTTTCATGAATTTAAAAGCATTACAGGAAACAACATAAGACCGCTTGAGACCAATTACCTGACTGACTCTTTGTAGCTGCTAGCTGGAAAACATCTGTATCTCTTGATTATTATATTATAAAAAGAACATAAACTGTTACTTTAGAGCTTCCGATAAAACATAAACATATTTTATTCACTATATTTTTTTTTTTTGTTCAAACTGGTGATTTATATCTCTGAAAGGGGCCGGTTATGTTTTCACCTAGAAAATGCCATAACTCCAGTCTGTGGCTGACTATAACTGACCCATTTTCACCAAATATACAGAACAAAGTGCATCTGTTGACCTATTTGTGAAGCCCTATTTGTGTGCGTACTTCATCTGGACCCAACCTTCTTAATAGGGGTGTGCAAAAAAAAAAAAAAAAAAAATTCATTCACATAAGAATTGTATGGAGCTCATAGAGGGACATTGAAGGAAAAAATGGATTGTAGTGAGCACTAGATACCTTCTTGTGCTGGAGAAGGTTTATTTTTTTTCTTCAATGTCCCATAGAATCACAATTCTCACTTATTAATGTCCCAAAATTGATTTTAAAACATAAAGAAATTAAACAAATTTGCCATTTGTTGGCCCCATTTTGTAGCTATATGGGAGCTGCTGATGTCGCCACGTAGACAGTACTGGAACGTACGCATTGCGCTGAAAGCGCCACAATGAACAGGAAGCTACAAAAAAGAGAAAGAGGGATTCATCCGGACTCGTCTTCGTTGAAGGCAAACATTTTGATTCATTTTGTCTTTTTACAGAATCTCCAGAAAGACTGAGCTAGATATGAGATTTACCTTGTGGAAGACTCACAAAATGAACATTGAGCACTTTGAGAACACTGCAAATGCTACAGCTGACCTGAGCTACACCATATTCTCAGTAGTGGGATGGAATGAAGCATCCCGTTGCTGTATTTCAGTACATTTTTCATGTATCTGTACTTTCCTTAAGATTTACATTTAATCGTGGGTACTTTCGACTTTTACTCCACTACATTTTACAGTAAGTATCTGTACTTTCTACTTCACTACATTTCTATAATGTGTTGCGTTACATCCAAGTCCAATCGCGCTTTGATTTGTTCGTTACTTTGAAAGTAATCACTGTCCACTGAACCGCTGCAAAGCCCCAGGATTTGTCGGACATCCAAGGAGTTTTAGTCAGGCTCTCCCTGTCCTTCCCAGATGATCCATCCCACTGTGTCTTTTTTAATGTCAAGGTAATATTTGCTGTGAATGACGTCAAGTTTCGCAACATGGAGACTAATAAGGACAGCGCAATAAACGTGAAAACAACCATGAACAAACGTGCCCATAAATTTGTACAACTAAACGTACAACTATCTATTGATATAGGCCTTCCACTATCCGATTTTTGTATCCGCTGTCAACGTGAATGTGGAGCGTTTATCCAACGGGAGACCATTTCAGTACATATTTTTGGTTCTTCTCTAAATAACTACATAGATTGTCAAAAGGCTAAAACCCATACTGTCTGTTCGTGACACTTCATTAAAGAAAAACTGAGCATGCAGGGAGTCATTCTATCCAAGCGTGGATTAATATTTAAAACTTGATAAATGTGAACAAGATATCTTAATGTCTCCATTTGTCATTCTGCCTTCCAAAGCAGACAGGGCTACATCATGAGGATACTTCACACTGCAATAGATTAAAGCAAATATCTTTATGAATAATCATTTTAAATCGAAAATCGATTTTGAATCAAATCGTGACACAACAAAAAATGTGTAGCTTCTTTTTAATCATTAAAAGCAGTCTTCAGAAAGCACCTTTTGAAAGTTGATCAAGAAATGTATCTATTACAGCTTACACCTGGTCTTTCACTAGGTTTTATTTCTTAGGAAAAAAGGGAAAGTTTATTTCACATAAAAGCAGTTTATTGTGCAGGGAACGGACCAAAATACCTGAAAAAGTATGAGCAGCCTCGGACAGAGTTGTGATTGAAGTGTTCGGCTGTCTTTTCGCTGCCGTAGTCCTCACCGGGGTCGGCCCAGATCAGGTCACACATCGGCCCAAACGCCGGCGGCTCTTTAAATCTATCTAACTGTTGAACACACACATGGATAGACTTGATATACTGGTGGGACTTGGACTGATTAACGATGGACACTAGACCACTGACTTTTCTTATGTCGTCTAAGCAGTTGATTTCTGGCGAGAGTCCCCCGTGAACACACAGGAACTGCTGGTTGAGCAGGGCAGCGAGTGGCAGGCAGTCGAAGGCTTCCATGCAGGCATCATATACCCGCTCAGAGTATTTGATTTTACCTGCCAATTAGAAACACAACGACAAATCACAGATTATCGATTAGGTCAGGAGGAAGTCGGACTTTTAGGAAGCAGCAGAGCCACAGCATTGCGATGTACATGATTAACACTGGAAGTGAAAAAAAAAAACTGAGTTTGGAAGTCTCATTTAGTAACTGATTGTATAACTTCAGGTAAACAGACTGACCACTGCTTTAAATTTAGCCATTTTATAATTTAAATTAGGGTTGAAACGATCCCTTGAGTGATTAGAGTACCTTGATTATTATAATTCCTCGAGGAAAATTTATCTGCCTTGAAGCTTCTTTAAGTTATATTTTATCATTTAATGCACCGTGTTCCGGCCGGGTTTAGACTTGCGCTGTGCAGCACTTTCGCTTCTTCCTGCGTGTCAGATGTCTGTAGCGTTTCTCAAAATGGCAGCTTTTCATGTGCTATTAAAGAAGACTGTCTCTTTAACCCCTGGTGTCCAAATTAAATTTTTTGCACTCAGATTAATTTATCATGCAATTAATTGCTTATTGTGACAGACTTACACATCAGCTTTAAGTACATGCAGACAAAACACACACATTCACACACACACAGCTGCTGCAGATTGAACTCAATAGGTGTGTAGCTCTATTGGAAAACATCAGCGTCAGGTTTCGCTGCTTTTCATTCTCCAGCTACATGAAAAGGAAAGTTGCCTCTTCCTCTGGGACGCTCATGCTGATAATCTGTCAAAACTTCAAAAAAGTTTATTTAGTCTTTATTTAACCAGGTGTGTTGCTTCGGAACAAATTATCAGCTTCAACAACGACCCGATCAGAAGAAAATGAAAATATCACACAGCAGAAAAACAGAATTCAAACATGCTAGTCCTAGTTAAAGCTTGTTAGCTGATAGGTCACCGGGTGCCACACCTGTTTGCCCGGACTGTCTGAAATCAGACTGATTAGCTACTATCAAGTGGTACAAAGTGTGTAAGAGCACACTAGATTGCCTAGCCTTGACATGGAGGAAAGTGGTGCACTTACATTCCTGTTTGAAGGTGAAGTACTCGGTGAGGTGCCGGCACTCGTGGTTCCCACGCAGGAGGAAGAGCGTAGTGGGGTGGTTGATCTTAAGCGACCAGAGGTAGAGAACGCACTGCAGAGAGACGACAGCAGAGAGACATGATGGGAAAGTGGAACAAGTGGATTTTGGGCGTCGAGTTCATTATTATGCTCTGAAGACTAAATACTCAAGACATAGTCTTTTATTTGTCAGGCCCCAGTGGTGAACAAAAATAAGTTTTACAATTTCTGCCACCAATAGCTGCGATTCTGCTTACCACAGAGTTGAGGAAATTGAAAATAAATGTGTTCAATGGAAACGTTTTCGAACAAGCCGACGTTTTTCGATTAAAAAAAACTTGCGCTAGGATGAGGTGGTTTTTCAGTCATGCCACAACAGATGCAAAACTGCATAGAAAACACTTTTTTTGGATCACACAAGTCACGTGATCTACAGCCGGATGTTACTACTGGCAGAAACGACAAAGAAGGTGACGATGATTAGTTTGTTTCTGGTTTTCTTTGGGCCGATGTGTCCAAAAAGCTGGATCCACCAGAACTCTCACAGCATTGCACAGTTCAGAAAAAGTAGTGTCATTCCAACGTGTTGTAACTATAATATCCCCAAAATGTCACAAATGTAATCGCCACCAACTATAAGGAGTGTGTCGCTCCAATGCCTGAATAAGACTTCGGTGTCTCCTCTGATTGGCTGATGATGAGCAATGAATTATGAACATATCTCATGCAAGTGTTTACGTCCGCCACTGCCATGGTTTTTAATGACTTGTCGTGTAAACAAGCTTATTCACATGTAATTTTTAATTTCATTTATTAGTCAATGGAGACACTGCAAATGCGAAATTGTGTTATTTTACAAAATAGCAAGAAAGATCTGTGTACATTGGTAATATGAATGCATCAACTGCCCTTAATATTTTGCCACTACTACAGCATTTTGTCCTCTACTATAACATTTCACAAGGTTGAGCACAGAAATGGTTCTTCGACCATTCAATCTTGGCCAACCAGAGTCCTGGGTCCTTCTTTATCTTTGCTTCTCTTCAGCTCAGCTTATGGGTTTTCTACAGGAATTAGGTCTGGGGACACAGAAGACAGTTTATTTTGAAAATCTCCCCATACTTCAAAAAGTTCCCGGAGCTCGTCGGAAGAAACACAAGCCTACAGTCGTTCTTTTGAGAAAAATAAAGTATGAAAAATATCTATTCAATTTATTTTAAAAGGGTGACTGTTACTGCCATAAATAGCCCTAACTGTATGTTGTTTATAGAAATACACAATTATTTTATTTGTATTCAAATTAATTGCAGGGATGTAATTAATTAATTGCAAATAATCATATTTTAATTAAAAAAAACTGCATACAAAAGTAAGCAACATGTTCAATTCAAAAAACATTTTTGCTGCTACATTATAGAACAAACATGCATGAGCTCCCAATTAAAAAAAGAAAGAAAGAGCAGAGCAACATTTACAATCCAAATGAGGCAGCTTTCTACTCCGAGCTCAGACAAGGCGCTGTTCAGTAGCTGCCACTTGTCACTCTCAGCCCACTCCTTTAACATGCACACCAACCAGAGCCTGCTATTAAAGTCGCTGGAACAAGATGCCAAGGAAACAAGAGCCAGCAGGTGTGGACTCACGTAACTGACGATGCTCATAAAAAGGAGAGAGGGGCCGGGGGGAGGGGGGCAGGGTACAACAAGCTTTTCTTTTCATGTCCGTCATAAGGAAGAGAATCGGGAGGGAAAGTTTCTGGAAACGCGTTAAGGGGGCTGTGGGCGTGGAGGCATGTGCTTTAATGTGAGATTCTCTGTGTGTGATGCACATCAGCATTATGTGCAGAGGCAGAGCTAAAGGGAACAGACAAATTCTCAGAGGTTAAAGGGGAATTTCCTCAGTTAAGATAAGAAGAAGGAGATGAAAAAAAAAAAACAAAGCTCTAACATACTCTGAATATTAGACTTTTGGAAAACTGATGGCCTTCAGCGACAATGCAATGCTCGACGAGGCAACACTGACTCCTTGTTACCAAGGTAACTGTCCTGTAATGCTTCCCACTATATCCATCTTATTAGTGTTCATGTGATAGTGAAGAATACAGGCTTACAGTAAGAAGTTCCCACCCTTCCTCTATGTGGCGACCTCTCTCCTCTCCCTCAGCAGATATCAATGTTACTGCAACGAGTCCCTAATTAGAAGTCAGCTGACCTCGTCTGATGGCAGCATTATGCTGCTAAATGTAGACCCAAGCAACCCTGATCATAATGCCAAGGCAACAAGCTTGCACAGTGGGCCAGTGATGACCTTATCACTGGTAAATGTGACCATAGAGCATATTACTTTTTTCCAATCCCATTTCTAAAATGTTCAAGGCAGTCCTCATTGCTAGCTTTAGAAAAACAAAGTTTTTGTAAACAGCAAAAACTAAATCTACATTACAGAAAAATTAGACACTGCCTTATTTGAATTTCAATATCAATGTCTTCTTTAACATAATGCTTAGAGTCTATTCATATTAAAGAGCTTAAGCAATTAATTGGATTAATTGTGATTAATCGTGATGACTTGATTATTAAAATAACTAATTTAGTAATCCATTAATCGTTAACTGAAGTGTACAGATTTAAAAAATTCCATTTGCTGAAGAGCAGTAATTTTGCCAAAATTGTACAAAAATATATAAATTTTGCATTTAGATTGTGTGTTTTTTTTGTTTTTTTTTTAAAGCACCTTTGTGTGTAAACGCGTCCTAGCCAAATCTCTGCAAGTGGCAGATTTAGCTTCACCTGGTTGAAATTATGGAACAAAATCTCTTACTAAGCACATTTTGCATCCAATTATTAATCAGTTATTCAAGGAGTAATGAACAGATCAGCCCTTCAAAGTACTGATGTAAAGTCAAGCAGAAACAGATGAGTTTTCCATATGATAGAAGTTTGTTTTACTTTCAGATGCATCCTTTGCAACAAATGATGAAGCGTTCACTAAAGGAATACAGACAGAAGTTTCAACCAAGGTAATGGAAGGAGGACAGCCAATAGAACAGTGAGATTGACCAAGAATCCATTTAAATTTCATGGAATTTGGCAGACAAAAACTGCTTTGATTTAAATTATAAATTATAAATAAATTATATCAAGCACACATCTGTTACCTTGAAGGTTCAGAAAAACTTATGTAGGGTCGGATGTGCTGTGACCCCTGATGAATTGTAATGTGATTCTTGCTTACCTCGATACTGAAGTAACCTCGATCCACATAGTCGCCGAGGAACAGGTACCGCGTGTTACTGGGAGAGCCTCCAACTTCAAACAACTTCATAAGGTCAAAGAACTGTCCGTGGACATCGCCGCACACTGGGAAGACAGAGCAGGCCTTCAGAACATGCTAAAAAGCTTTTTCTTTTTAACTGTCTGGCAGTGAAGCAATCTGAATTGTTGTCTGAGGGTCAAGGAAAAGCCCAACAGATTATCTTTCACAAGTGAAGCATTACGACTTTCACCGTAATGCTTTACCTGGTATATATATATATATTTTAGAAACTTTAAAAAACTTTTTTTCCCTTTAAAAATATGCATTATGTTGCTTTTTATATATGCAAAACTCAAATTTCTTTTTAAAACCTGCCTACTTTTTATAGATGTAAGCACATTTATTCAACACAATTTGGTGCGACATGTAGGTTTTTAAATGTGCCATTACCAATATATTACTTAAAACTGGTCTCAAAACAACATTATCATTTATCGCAAAAACTTCTGGAACAATATATCGTCCAGTAAAAGTTATCATGACAGGCTCACTGCTAAATAAGCTTCACTAATAATGATGTATTCCATATGCACAATTTCACAAATTATAATTGGAGCACCGATAAATTAGCTTCGCCAATGCTTTCCAATGATATTCCGCAAGATACCCATCTTCTTTCACTGTACCATCAGGCTTTCTCTAATTGACTGAGATTTCTCCCGACCACCAGCTCACGTCTGCACATGCTCAGTTAACATCAGTCATCCTACTGCGGCCAGCTTGATAGTCAGACTTTTTAAACATCGGTGGTGAAACTGCAATTGCTGTTCAAGTTCTTGATAAATTATGTCAACTATCATACAGTGCAGAATAAAAGACATTGAAATCAATAAGTCAATAAATGACTGCATGTAAAACACTGAAAGTGCTGCTTTTTGATGAACTGGACTTAGAATCTGTCAGAATCTCCACAAGCTTTTCAGAGTTCGACATCATCAAACATAAAACCTGGTATTAAATGACCTTTTTGTATCATTATAAATATTTTATATTTAGAACACTTTTGTTTTGAGAACGAGGCTCTGTCTCAGTGAGATTACCAATATAGAATAAATAAACAGAAATTAATTTGATGCAGATTAACTTTTTCTTTAAAGCACTTATCTTTTAGACATACTTTTTGTGTTTTCTTCAATTTTATAGTAAATGAGTCAGCAAATGTTCACCGACTTGATCTCAAAAGCAGACCCAAATCTGCATGCAACTCTTTTATTAAACTTATTTAAATAGAGTGAATAAAGTCAGTGACACAAATCCTCTTCCTGTTGCTGAGAATCAATAAAAAAAATAAAAATCAGTCGACTCCTCCCTCTGCATCAAAAGAAAGGGAAACTTTCTTTTTATGTGGAAAAAATTTAAAACCCTTTGTATGTTATAAATCTATAACCATTTACAGCTTCCTTCCCCACAAAAATTGAAACTTTATTAGCTTCACTAAAATATTTCATTTGTAGTTTATTGTTTGATCATATAAGTAAAAATATCACTAAATTTTGGGGAAAATTTAAAAAAGACAAATTTGACACACAATATACACACAATGTTGTGTATATTGTGTGCATTTCCACTTCACACAGTCCTTCCTTCTGTATATAAAATTAATGAGAAAAACTTCATAAGGTGTGAATACGTTTACGGCCAAGTGTAAAGTTTACGTCGACCACATGCAGCCTCTGCTCACTGCGCTGCCGTACCCGTTATGGGCGCCTCGACCTCCAGCATGCACTTCTCCTGGCGTAGGATGTTGGCCCCGTCGTTGATGATCTTTAGGGCCACGTCCTCCTCCACTCGGCCCTCTTTCACCAGGTGGTTGCGGAGCAGCTCAGCGTTGGGCTTTCCGCCTTCAAACAGTTCTTTCGTTGTCAGCTTATGCTGAGGAGGGTACGGCACAGCTGGAGGACAAACAAAGAAAAAACACATTATTGTAGTGAGCATGTACAAGGACACTGCTTTGAGCTCTGAAGCAATCTGCATATGCAGAGAAATAATGAAGAGTGCATTCTGTTTAAAAAAAAAAAAAAAAAAGTTTTACGTTGTCTGTTCATCACTGGTATTGCAGCCATTACTTTAGTAATCGATTATTCTGACAATTGATCGGATTCAAAAACAACTTGCCACATTCTGAAACTTTTTCATTAAAACACTTAAAACACTTCATCCATTTTTAAAACAATATTAGAAATGCATTAAAAGATGCACATAAACAAACTATTTAATTCCAAATAGGAAAATAAACTTTTTACTGCCTAATATGCAAACGATGCATCTGCAGCTAAAAGGTCAACATGTGAAAAGCTCAGATCTTTCTGCTGGAATGAATACCTATACACTGTAGAGCTGAGAGACTGAATTTGGATTAATCAATCAATAGTTGATAATTGTTGAAATGGTTTCATACTACTTTTGGGCTGTATTAACACTAGGGTTGCAACTAATGATTATTTTAGTAATAGATTATTAATCAATTAATCAATCGGTGATTAAGCAAAAGGTACTTCCTAAGAGGCTAAGTTAGATAAGAATTATTTCAATAATCGAGTCATCACGATGAATCCGATTAATTGTTCCAGCCCTAATTAACTCTACAAAATTTCAGTCAATCACAGATCGTAATCTGAACTTAAGTTCGAAACTTGAACCAACAATTCAATCCATCAAATTTGTATTAAAAAAACAAAAAAAAAACAGGCACATTTCCATCATAACCATCCAAAAGTGGAGAGGCAAACATCTTCATGTTCAGGCCAGGTGAGGGATGTGAAAAGCACACACACACACACACACACACACACACACACACACACACACACA